TTCTCATCTTGCCTCCAGACAGGAGATGCCCATTTAATCTCATGTATCTAACTGAGCTAAGAAGCACATTCTTCATGAGTATCAGTTTATGCCCCATAGTCCAGTCTAACCTTTGTCTGAAGAGTTGGCTTCAGGAATGGTTTCACTTCTGGGCTAATAGAGAGTCTGGGGGCCATGTCTTCCGGGATCCCTCCAGTCTCAGTCAGACCAGTAAGTCTGGTCTTTTTACTAGAATTTGAGTTCTGCAACCCACTTTTCTCCTGCTCCATCAGGGACTCTCTGTTGTGTTCCCTGTCAGGGCAGTCATTGGTGGTAGCCAGGCACTATCTAGTTCTTCTGGTCTCAGGCTGATGGAGTCTCTGGTTTATGTGGCCCTTTCTGTCTCTTGGGCTACTACTTTCTTGTGTCTTTGGTGTTCTTTGTTCTCCTCTACTCTAGGTGGGTTGGGACCAATTGATGCATCTTAGATGGCCGCTTGCTAGCTTTTAAGACCCCAGATGCCACTCACCAAAGTCGGATGCAGAACATTTTCTTAATAAGCTTTGTTATGCCAACTGACCTAGATGTCCCCTGAAACCATGGTTCCCAGACCCCCCGTACCCACTACTCTGTCCCTAGAAGTGTTTGGTTGTATTCAGGAAACTTCTTAGCTTTTGGTTTTGTCCAATTGTGCCGACTTCCCCTGAATTGTGTGTTGCCCTTCCCTTCACCTAAGATAATTCTTGTCTACTATCTAGTTAGTGAATACCCCTCTCCCTCCCTCCCCACCCTTATAACCATCAAAGAATGTTTTATTCTGTGTTTCAACCTTTTCTTGAGTTCTTGTAATAGTGGTCTCATATGACATTTGTTCTTTTGCAACTAATTTCACTCAGCATGACACCTTCCAGATTCATTCATGTTATGAAATGTTTCGCAGATTCATCGTCGTTCTCTATTGTTGCATGGTACTCCATTGTGTGAATATACCATAATTTTTTTTATCCATTCGTCCATTGATGGGTACCTAGGTTAGCAACACTTTCTTGATCCTTTGGTGCACAAGGCATTAAGGGTAAGCTCCACAGCAGCAAATAATATTTAAACACCTACTAGGTGACTTTCCGGGGGCCCTAGTGGAGCAATGGTTAAGCCCCCAGCTACTAACCCAAAAGGTTGGCAGTTCAAACCTACCCAGTGGCTCTATGGGAGAAAAGACCTAGCTATCTGCTCCCATAAAGATTAACAACAAAAACCAAAAAAAAAAAAAAAAAACAAAAAAAAAAAAAAAAAAAAAAAACCCATTGCCGTCGAGTTGATTCCGACTCATAGTGACCCTATAGGACAGAATAGAACTGCCCCATACCGTTTTCAAGGAGCAGCTGCTGGATCTTAACTGCAGACATTTTGGTTACCAGCTGAGCTCTTAACCACTGCACCACCAGGGCTCCCTCGTAAAGACTGTAGCCTAGGAAACCCTATGGGGCAGTTCTATTCCGTCCTATAGGGTCACTATGAGTTGGAATCGACAGCACACAACAGGCAACTTCCCCAATCTGACGCTGACATAATACAACAGGTTCATCAAATGCCTTTGTTCCCTCTGAGGGGCAAATAGCTATATCCTGAATTATAACAAAAATAGTGCTAAAAACTCTGCATTTTAAGCATGCATATGTACAGACACTTCCCCATTAATCATATATACTTTCAGGTTATACTATCCCTCCCCAACCCCCTCACAGGAAATATCTGCTAGAGGTAATTCTGTAATTACCCCTTTCCCTAGGTTAAAATTGACCTTCAACAAAAATGCTGAACTTACAGGAAAATGCAGCAATGAATAGTCTCTGTCTGCTTCGTTATGTAGTTAATAGATTCATGGAAGTACTAACGACTGAATAAAGGTTTGAATATACAACTACATGCTATGTACAGCCCAGGACTTCTGAATTTTTCCAACACTGAGCAAGACTGAATGATGTTAGCAGCATGCCAACAAGGATATAATTGCAAAAACAAAAAAAAGTCCTAAACAGGAAATACTGTATATATGTTCAGCTTAGTGGGTTGTCCAAGTTCTGGTGAGAGATATCCCAGAGGAAAGCTTGACCTGCTGCAGGCATGAATCCATCTCATATCGAAGCCCTAATGTGAAGCATCTTGGGTTTATAGCAGCAAGTGTAAATTCTACCTCAGCTGTCTCTAAGAAACATTTTGGGGCTTAAATCAGGAAAGAATCAGAAGTTATGGCAGCAGCTGCAAAATGGTTTGTTCGCTCTCCAGACATCCATGGCTTGGCTAATAGCTCTTTGTATGGGAGAAGCAGGGCTAAGCAAGACTGTCATTTAGGAGTGCATACTCCATTTAAGACTTTATTCTTAGTTGATTCAACTGCTTAAAAAAAATAACATTCACTGAGGTGCTATGAATAATCTAAAATGGATTTGTGTGCATAATCTGGGTGTCCTAATAACTGACACACACACATACACACACACACACAAAATCCAGATTGGAACTAATGAAAAGTAATGATAAAAAGTCGTGCACGTTCACTTGTAACGATACAGCATCTAGCATTACGTCTTGCACATAGTAGGGGCTCAATGGATCTTGATTGATTTAGAGTAGTGGAATCTGTTCGCCCTGGCCCCCAAAATCTCACTGTGGACTGCCTACCAGACTAAGAAGTAAATATCATTCTTCCTCATTGCCTGGTATAAATACTAAACATCAGTGGCCTTGGTCCCAAGTAGACTAGGCTGACAAGGCAACAGTGGCCGCTGGCAGCATCTGCTAGAAGAGTCCAGCCCCGGAAACAGTTTTTCCAGCTTTGTCACCTGTGGTCACCGGATAGAAAGAAGCAGTTGCACCTGTGCTGTACAAAATTCTTTTTTAAACCTAAAAACCTGGACAAGGACGCTAGTGTTAATTTTTTGCTGCCAAGGGTAAAAGATCAAATGCTGGTCAAATCTCAGTGGAGGTTCACTAAAGGCCTATTTAATTCTCTTGAGACCATCTGTCCACCTCACAGCTCCCCTCTGATCCCATGATGTGATAGAAGGCCACCTCTGCTCAAGGAAGGTTTTCTTTTTTTCCTGAATTTTGGGAAGTGTTCCCTATGCTAGGCTTATTGAATCACTTGCTAACAATCACCCAAGATGAGAGCCTTGGTATAAATGCCCTGAACACAGCTTGCTTTCCCCTTAACTGGCTGTGATGACAAGTAAGGCTCCAATGTGACCTCAGCAGGATCCCACTCCAAAGTCAGAGTGAAACACACAATAAGCTAAGTCCGTTAAAATAACATAAAAGGTCTAGGTTTAGCTTCCCTAAACAGCAGGATTAAACTTTTAAGGGTCTGGTCTCCATAGAGAGATGTCTTTAAAGTCAGTTGGCTTTGCACAGTTGTAGCTATTAGGGATCAGATCTTTATCTCAAAGGTACATATTCTACCTTTGATCTTCCTCCAGAACTCCCACTAATGTCAACTTTCTCCACTGTTGGGAGCAGGCCCTTGGCCTCCCTTTAATGTTGGTTTTATTGCTGATTCTACAAGATCAACAGAAAAATTACAAGGAAAAGCTGTGAAGTTCCCTTTTAATGACAAGTTGATTTAACAAAAAGAGCCCACTCTTAAACGGTGAAATTTAAACACGGCAAACGACATGCAGTAAGGGAGTCGACCAGTGGGGAAGAGAGAAACAAACAAACAAAGAAAAAAAAACCCAAAAGTAAAAAAAACGCTAATTAACCAGTCCGACTGCTTATTTAAGAAGCCCTGGCGGCGCAGTGGTTAAAGCGCTCCGCTGCGAACCAAAAGGTCGGTGGTTCAAATCCATCAGCCACTCTGGCGGATAAAGATGCGGCAGTCTGCTTCCGTAAAAATGTACAGCCTTCGAAACCCTATGGGGCAGCTCTACTCTCTCCTATAGCGTCGCTATGAGTCCGAAAGGACTCCACGGCAGTGGGTTTGGTTTTGGTTTTCTCTAGTCCAGAAAATTGGCAGAGTGTCTTGAAAACAGGAGAAGGGGCAGGTGCCCGTTAGCACCTATCCGCTTCCCTCTTGTCTGCCTTCATCCAGACAATACGGATGAAGCTGGGGGTGGGGGGCGATGGAAGGGCTCCAACAGGGTCAGCGTGCTTTCCAATTCCCATTCTCCAGCCCTGCTGGCTTCGGAGGCACCTCCGGCCGTGAACGGTAGGGCTCTGACCCCAGGCCCGCTGTCTCCGCACTAGCACACTCCGTCTTCCCCGTAAGCCCCAGGGCCCCATCCCCTTGCCTCTGGAGCGCTCCCGGGGCCCAAGGGACACCCTCGCCCTGTGGCGGCCGGCCCCGCGCCCCACTCGCCCCAGAACCCCGTTGTTTGCAATTCCCTCCCTCCGCGGCAGCAGCAGCACCCCTTCAACACCCACCACCACCCTCTCTCTCGCCAGTAGCAGGAGGAAGTCGCTCTGCTTCCTCTGTGTTTACCGCCCGCCAGAGCTTGGGAGGTTGGGGCTTTTTGGGTGGGGTTCTTTTTTGTGTACACGGCGGGTCTGTCCGCGCGCCGCGTTTGTATGTGCAAAAACGCTTATCGCATCCTTCCGCTCAGGCTGCCTCAGGTGCCCATGAAGAAGACTCGGGATCTCGTGAGTGCCCTCGTCGCCGGCTCTTTGTGCCCGATCCAGGGCAGCACGAGATCCGCTCTTTCAATTACACCCCCGCTCCGCCCCGCCCCGCCCCGCCCTGGCTCGGAGCCCCCGCCGCCGTCCGCGCATGGGTTGCCTGCCCGCGCCCAGCGCGGCGCACGCCTCCGCAGCGCCCCGCAGTCCGAGCGCTGTCAGCGGACGCCGGGGACTGCACCCCGGCAAGCGGCCGCCCGTGAGAAAACTTACTGGAGCGAAGGAGGAGAGCCCCCGCAGCGCACCGGGCCCCGGAGCGCCGTTACTGCCCCGGCCCCCGCGCGCGGTCAGCTACCCCGTCGCTCTCGCCCGGAACGCGTCTCCCGGGACGCCCCGGGCCTCCGGCCACTCACCAGCACCACGGAGCTCCGCACGGCCTCCGACACGCTCTGCCGGAGCTCGGCCGCCGTGCCAGGCTTGCTGAGCCGCTTGGTGAATTTGCGCACTTCGGTCATGGCAGCGGCGGGCAGGTCTCGGTGGGCGCGTTCACTGCCCCGGACCCAGACGGCCGCGACCGCGGCTGCTCCCTGTGTTTACACGCCGGCCGGCCGGCCACATCGCATTCGGTGGCGGCGGCTCTCCTGCTCCTCCTCCCGCCCGCGGCTGCTCCGCCCTCCTCCCGCCTTCCCTCCTTTTATCGCTCGCTAGGCTCGCCCGCTCACTCTCCTGCCCCTCGGCAGCGGCGGCTCCCTCGCCTCAAGGGCCGAGCTCCGAGCGTGACTAGCCGGAGCAGGAGGGTGTGTCCGGCTGGAAGGGTGTGTGGAAGAGGAGGGGGGACTGCGGGGGGTGGGGGGGCGAGGGTCACGAGGGAGGAGGGGAAGTGGCAACTGCTCGGGCTCCGCCCGCAGCTGATGTTGCTGGTGCAGCCGCATCCGGGAGGGAGATCTGGCTGCTGCTTTTTTTAGGGGGAGGGGGTATGAAGGTGGTGGTGATGAAATGTCCCCAAGAGTAGGGCGTGCCCTAGCTCAGAGCTCTTCTTCTGCTACCGAGGCTGTAGTGCCTGCAGGAGAGCCTGGGAACTCTCTCGTCCCTCCACTCTGCCAGCCCCCAGAGCCCAGGCGGTTGAGGGGCTGGGAAACAACGTGGAGCAGCCGCCTATTGTGTGCTCTGCCGGGGGAGGGTCGCGCGCCGGTGTCGAAGGAGGGAGAGCGGTTTGCTGGCCGAGGCGCCTCGTCTGAGTCCCCTCCCCAGTCATGCCGTTTTTTTTTTTTTTTTTTTTTTTTACCCAGTCAGTCTTCTTCACGTGGACGCTTTGAGAAATAGGAACTTGCTGGGGCAGCACCCCTTCCCGGGCGGGGGAGAGCTGAGTGGTGCGGCCTGGGCAGGTTCAGCGGTGTCTGGGGGCAGGGGCTGGGGGCGGGGGGTGACATTTGAAAGACCATTGCCCGGGGTCTGAAGGACTTAACAGTGTTCTAGAGGTTTTTAGATGTGCGCTGTGATCATCTCTCCATTTTCTACTCCTTTCTTTATCCTCTTCACCTTCCAGGAACTTGTTTTCCAAGAATCAAAAAGAACATCTAACTAGGGCATAAACAAACATCCTTAAGACAGAAATAAGAATGGAGCTGATGCTGTAAAACCTCCTCAAGTGCAAAGCAAGAGGCTCCATTGATCTCTGCAGTTTTCTATCTGGTTACTTCATTTGTTTGGAGTTTGAAAATGACCCCTACTTTTTGGGAAACCATACAGCCCTTCTAAGAGCGTTCACTGCCATAGGGCACTTTTCCTAACGTCAACGTCCAAGCAGTCACACCTACATATGGGACTTTGTTGTAGAAACAAGGGCAAGGTCGATGGTTTCTGTGAACCCAGAAAAGGCCAGGCTAAAGGTTGGCACTTGGAGCCCACCCAGAGGCACCTCAGAAGACAGGCCTGGCGATCTGCTTCCTAAAGGTGACAGCCTTGAAAACTCTATGGAGCCGTTCTATTCTGCACACATGGGGTGGCCATGAGTCAGGATCGACTAGAGGGCAACCACCACCACCACTTAGCAGCAAGGGCTTCTAGGGTGGTGTCTTAGTCATCTAGTGCTGCTGTAACAGAAATACCACAAGTGGATGGCTTTAACAAAGAGAAATTTATTTCTTCACAGTAAAGTAGGCTAAAAGTCCAAATGCAGGGTGTCAGCTCCAGGGGAAGGCTTTCTCTCTGTCAGTATTCTCATCATTGTTCCCCCGGAATAGGAGCTTCTCTGCGCAGGGATCCCGGGTCCAAAGGACCCACTCTGCTCCTGGCACTGCTTTCTTGGTGGTATGAGGTTCCATGCCCCCCCCCCACTTCTCTGTTTTATGTCTCAAGAGATTGCCTCAGGACACAGTCCAGTCTTGTACATTGAGTCCTGCCTCACTAACACAACTGCCACCCGTCCTCCCTCATTAACATCATAGAGGCAGGATTTACAACATACAGGAAAATCACAGGATACCAGGAATCATGGCCCAGCCAAATTGATACACACATTTTTGGGGGGACATAATTCAATCCATGACAGGTGGCATAAATGGTTAAGCACTGGACTACTAGTCAAAAGGGTGGCTGTTCAAACCCACGCAGAGGCACTGTAAAAGACAGGCCTGGCAATCTGCTTCTGAACGGTCACAATCTTGAAAACCCTATGGAACAGTTCTACTTTGCACACATGGGGTCACCATGAGTCAGAATTGATTTGACAGTAACTAACAGCAACAACTTAGCAGCAAGCCTATTTCAGCAGCCATTACATTAGTCCTAATAAAGCCAGATGGAGGCACAAAGAGGATCCAGGACCTGGAAGACCTCTAAAGCAGAGGCCTTGTATCACAAATACGATTTTTTGGTTTTTGAATGTAGGTGGATCAGCATGAATTCACGTCTTCCATTCCATGAATGCCTGTGTGGCCTGCACTGTTTATTTTCACAACAGCTCTAACGCATCTTCCTTGCTGAGAGATCCCAGATTTTCTCCAGGTATATGGCAGAGCCAGTTCCAGGTGATGAAATCATGACTAGTTAAAAAAATCATGATAATCTCATTCTCCTTTACTAGTGGGATGGTCTAGACTCCCACTCAGTTTGGGTCGGTGGGATATAAGAGGGACATGTGGCAGCAGGGCCCCTGGGAAAGTTTTTCTACCTTGTTAAAATGAGATGGTCAGGGAGACCTCTGCCCCGCTTTCTTCCTGAAGGGAGTGTTTTCTTGTGATGCTTAGGGCTTTGGCAACCATGTTGCAACCAGGAGAAAAGGCCAAGAGAATCACAAAGAAGTCTATCCAGAATCTGGACATCATTGAACTGTTAAACCAACCCTGGTACTGCCTACCTCTGAGTTCCTTTTTATGTGAGAAAAGTAAACCCTTAAGGTTTACATCACTTTTAGTCACGTATTCTGTTACTTTCAGCCAAAAGCATCCTTACTGGTACAGGCTTTATTGTAGGCACTGAAGGTACAGCACTAAACGAGACAGGCAGTCTCTCTTCTATGGAACGTAGATTCCAGTGCAAACAAAAGAACATGTTAATTTCAGAAAGGGATAAATGCTATACAGAGAATTAAATTAAGGTGATATGGTAGAGTGACTGGAGTTGGAGACCGAATTGGTTGGTCAAGGAAGGCCTCTTTGATGAGATGAAAATTGGGCTGAGTCTTAAAGGAAAGGAAGCAGCCAGCAAATCAAAGATCAGGAAATAGAGCATTCCAGGCAGAAAAAATGACAGGAACAAAGGCCTGGAGATAAGCACAGGCTTAGTGTGTTCAAAGAACAGAAAAAAGGCCAGTGTGACTGGAGCATAAGGAGTGAAGGAAGAGGAGTGATATGAAGTTGGAAAAGTAGGCAATTTATGCCGAGCCTTGTGAGCCATGGAAAGCATATGTCACAGTGATGGTGCACAAACACCATCTGGCCATTGTGCAGGCTTCACACTCATTCCTGAGATTGTAAGTTTTGGTACAGTGACTCTGCGTATTCCTTCCATCTTCTTTTGATGCTTCCTGTGTTGTTCGATATTTTGCCCATAAAACCAAAAAAAAAAAAAAAACCCATTACCATCAAGTGGATTCTGACTCATAGTGACCCTATAGGACAGAGTGGAACTGCCCCATAGGGTTTCCAGTGAACGGTTGGTGGATTCGAACTGCCAGCCTTTTGGTTAGCAGCCAAGCTCTTAACCACTGCAGCACGAGGGCTCCATTTTGCCCATAGAATCCTTCAATATTTCAACCTGAGGCCTTAGTTTTTTCTTCAATTCTTTCAGCTTGAGAAATGCTGAACGTGCCCTTCCCTTTTGGTTTTCTAACTACAGGTCTTTGCACATTTCATTAATACTTTACATTGTCTTCTCAAGCTGCCCTTTGAAATCTGTTCAGCTCTTTTGCTTCATCATTTCTTCCATTTGCTTCAGCTGCTCTATGTTCAAGAACAAGTTTCAGAGTCTCTTCTGACATCCATTTTGGTCTTTTCATCGTTTCCTGTCTTTTTAATGACCTTTTGCTTTCTTCATGTGTGATGTCCTTGATGTCATTCCACAACTTGTCTGGTCTTTGGGCATTAGTGTTCAATGTGTCAAATCTATTCTTGAGGCGGTCTCTAAATTCAGGTGGGATATACTCAAGGTTGTATTTGGTTCTCATGGACTTGTTCTAATTTTCTTCAGCTTCAACTTGAACTTGCATATGAGCAATTGATGGTCTGTTGTGCAGTCGCCCCTGGCCTTGTTCTGACTGATGATATTGAGCTTCTCCATTGTCTCTTTCCACAGATGTAGTGGATTTGATTCCTGTGTATTCCATCCATCGAGGTCCACGGGTATAGCGCTGTCTATGTTGAAAAAGGTATTTGCAATGAAGAAGTCGTTGGTCTTGCAAAATTCCATCATGCGATCTCCCGAGTCTTTTCTATTACCAAGGCCATATTTTCCAACTACTGATCCTTCTTCTTTGTTTCCAACTTTTGCATTCCAATCACCAAGTAATTATCAGTGCATCTTGATTACATGTTTGATCAATGTCAGACTGCAGAATTTGGTAAAAATCTTCAATTTCTTCATCTTTGGCATTAGTGGTTGGTGCATAAATCTGAATAATAATCATATTAAATGGTCTTCCTTGCAGGATATGGATATTATCCTATCACTGACAGCGTTGTACTTCAGGATAGATCTTGAAATGCTCTTTTGCAAATGAATGCAACTCCATTCCTCTTCAATTTGTCATTCCTGGCATAGTAGACTGTATGACTGTCTGATTCAAAATGGCCAATACCAGTCCATTTCAGCTCACTAATGCCTAGGATATCGATCTTTATGTGTTCCATTTCATTTTTGATGACTTCCAATTTTCCTTGATTCATACTTTGTACATTCCACATTGCGATTAATAGTGGATTTCTGCCGCTGGTTCTTCTCATTTTGAGTCATGCCACAACAAATGAAGATCCCAAAAGCTTGACTCCATCCACGTCATTAAGGTAAAATCTACTTTGAGGAAGCAGCTCTTCCCCAGTTGTATTTTGAGTGCCTTCCAACCTGAGGAGCTTATCTTCAGGCACTATATTGGACATGTTCCATTGCTATTTGTAAGGTTTTCACTTGCCAATTTTTCAGAAGTAGACCACCAGATCCTTCTTCCTAGTCTATCTTAGTCTGAAAGTGGCACTGAAACTTGTCCACCATGATTAACCCTGCTGGTATTTGAAATATGGGTAGTATAGCTTCCAGCATCACAGCAACA